TTCCAAAAGGCATCACTAGCCAGATATGACCCCAAGCTACCTGTCCAACTCTTAATATTTAATTCCTCCCTGACCATGGTAGGAGCGATTCATCAGCCACACGAAGTACTAGAATGGCTTCACAGGCCAGTAGGTGGCGCTCCTCGCTTCCTTACAGAAGTGGACACCCTTGCCTCCATGGTCCGACATGGGAGAGATAGAATCATGCAAATCATAGGAAAGGAACCAGATACTCTCATTATCCCCTTCTCATTATCAGATGTACAGTGGCTCTTAAAGCATCACTCCTCTTTTGCAGTTAGCTTAATAGGCTTCCCAGGACAAATTGATAATCACTATCCCAATACAATTTGAAAAAAAAAAAAAAAAAAAAAAAAAAAAAGGGGGCCAGAGGAACATCAGTGACAAGAACTATGACATGACCTAAAAGGAGTAGGAACATGTCACAGTTGATGACAAACACTCAAGAGCTAGGGCTCTGTGCAAAACAGCAGCCTCAGCTCCTTCTGATCAGCAGCCACAGAAGACGAAAGGCAAGCCTGCTGCCCAGCTGGAGTTCCCAAGACCTGGTTCCCAGCTGGGCCCTGGAAGGACTGGATCTTCAATAACCACAGGACATGTCAGGTCTCAGTTCTGCTAAGTGTCTGGGGGAGGACTGGGAAAATGGCCCAGTTAGTAAAGCACTTGCCTCGTGAGTGTGAGGACCTGAATTTGATCCCCAGAAGCCACATAAAAGGCCGGCATGGTGATGCACACTTGTAATCCCAGTGACAGTGATGGGAAAAGGAGACAAGCAAATCCCTGGAAGCCTGCTAGCCTAACCTACTTGGCGAAGCTTCAGGTCAATGAGAGACTCTGTTTCAAAAGGTGGAAAGTGTCTGAGGAATGACCTGACCCCAGAAGATGGTCCTCTGAGCTCCACACACATGCACAGACAGGTGTTCAAATGCAGCTGCACCAACACACACACCCAGACACAAATACCTACATACAAACATCTGGTAACAACCATGGGCCTACATCTCTACTAGATGTGACAAGAGCCAAGAAGGAGAGGTCCTCTGGCTCACAGCTCAGGTCAAAAGAATTGCCATATCCCAGGGTTCCCTGAAGACCCAGAGGTTGGGGTCACAAGGTCATGCCAGTGAGGGAGCTGACTGGTGGCATCTGCTGGGCAGACAGCAGTGGTTCAGAGCCCGTGTGAGCATGCCTCAGTGAATAGGCCTTTCACAGCCCCTCCTCAGGAGTTGCTTTTATAGACACAGAGCAGCAACAAAGGCGAGATTTAGTGCTGAAGCCCGCTCAGCAGCTGTTTTCTTCTTGTTCCTTGTTTAACTTCTCTCAGGAGACAAAGCTGGGCCTGGCTGAGCAGGTGTTTGGGGCAGGTGATTCTATTCCCATTAATTTTCTTAAGTCATAGCAGAGCAGCCCAGGAGGTTATCTCGAGTACTCTTGAGGACACCCTGCCCTGTGCCTGCTAAATAACAAGCCACCATGTGCCTGATAGCAATGTCACGTTCTGCTCCTGCAGGTTCTGGCATCTTTAAATCTCCAATTCTGGTAGCTAACAGAATTGAAAAAGCACAGCCCGGCCTTACTCGACATTGAGATTTTGTCCTCTTTACTAATGTGTTAGAGGTAAACTGAGGCTGGTGGCTTCCAAGTTCTTAGGAAAAGCCTGAGCTGGGGATGTGCCTCAGTGGTAGAGCACTTCCCTAGCCTGTGTGAGGCCCCAGATTCAACCAACAACACAACACAACACACACACACACACACACAGTCTGCAGTCAGACATAATGGTACATGGCTGAGGCAGGAGGATTGTGCATTCCAGGCCAGCCTGGACTACACAGCAAGACTTCATCTAAAAAAAAATAAATAAATAACAGGGGGGACAGGGCTCGAGAGTCGGCTCAGTGGTTAAGAGTGTACTTTTCTTACAGAGGACCAGGGTTCAGTTCCTAGTACCCATGTTGGGCAGTTTAGAACCACCTAGAACTCCAGCTCTAGAAGATCTGACATCCTCTTCTGGTCTCTACAGGCACTGCACTCCCATGCATATATCCACACACAGCCACACAATTAAAAACAAAACAAAGCCGGGTGTGGTGGCGCACACCTTTAGTCTCAGCACTCAGGAGGCAGAGGCAGGCAGATCCTCTGTGAGTTCGAGGCCAGCCTGGTTTACAGAGTGAGTTCCAGGAAGCTGGAGCTACAAGGAGACCCTGTCTCAAAAAGACCAAAAAAAAAAAAAAAAAAAAAAACCCATGAAACAAAACAGTGCTTGCCTGGCACAACACACAAAGCCCTAGGTTTGATCCCAAGTACTGCATAAACCAGGTGTGGTGGCCAACCCTGTCTTAGGAACATGAGATGGAGGCAGAAAGTTCAGATGTTTAAGGTCATTCTCAGTTACATAGTGAGCTCAAGGTTGGCTTATTGGACTGGACTATGCTAGATCATCTCAAAAAATAAATAAAACACAGGAAAAAAAAAGAGAAACTTGGGCTTGGTAGTACACACCTTTAACCCCAGCACTTGAGAGGCAAAGGCAGGTGAATTTCTGTGATATTGAGACCAGCCTGGTGCACATAGTGAGTTCCAGACCAGTTGGAGTCACAGAGAGACCCTATCTCAAAAAGACAAAAAATTCTCAATTCTCTTTTAAGCATATCTAAATTGTCACACTAATGACTTTATTCACTGCTTCACTTCCAAGTGATTTCAAGGAGAGTTTAATTCTGTAAGGTATGAAAAAAAAGTCTTTAGGAGGCCTGGAGAGATGGCTCAGCAGTTATGAGCACTGGCTGTTTTTGTAGAGGACTCAGGTTCCATTCCCAGCACCCACATGGCAACTAATAACTGTTACTCCAATTCCAGATCTGATCTGACACCCTCTTCTGGTCTCTTTCTGGCATGCACACACACACAAATAAATAAATCTTTAAAAAAAAAAGTTTCTAGGGACTGAAGCAGTTAAGACCACTGGCTGCTCTTGCAGAGGACCCAGGTTCAAACCCCAGCACCTACATGGTAGCTAACAATCATCTGTAACTCTAGTTTCGGGGACATCTGATGCCCTTTTCTAACCCCTGCAGGCACTGCACGACACCAGTGAGCTTACATATATGCAGGCAATTCAAAACACTCATACACATAAAATAAAAGTAAAATATTTAAAAAGATTCCAGAAGGAGAAAGAAAGCTCAAGTCCTCTCAAATGTAAACTTAGCCTCCACATCATCTTCTCCAGTGACCTCCTCTGTGGGAGCCAGCCCCACAGTGTTTTGTCCTGTAGCTGTACTATTTGCTCTCCTCAGTACCCAGTGAGTCACTGAGGGCTGAGGAGAACAGTCTTCCCCAGTGGGCAGAACCCACATCCCTTCATGTTCTCCCAGGCCTGCCATTACCTTCAGTTTCTTCCCACAGAGGAGCCTTTCTCACAAGGAGCGAACATCCGGTGATACATCTCTCGCTCTCTGTCCATGTAGTTCTTGTAGTAGCTGTGGACAGAAAGGCAGGCTGTATGTGTTTGTAGGAGGTGACATCTAGTGGCTGGAATTCTCTGCTCAGGTTCAGAGCCACTGAAAACTCAGCAGAACTTAACCAGAGAGGAGGGGGAAGGGTGAACAGGAGGGACAGAGACAGGCAAGGCTCCTAATCCAGTTCAGGAAGCCACTGGACACAAGGCCACCACTTGGGAAGATGGCAGCTGGGAAGGCTGAACTGAAGCCTTCCCTTTGAAAGGTCAGTGGGCTCACTCGGGCCAAGTCCTGCCAAATGACCTCTCAAAACTGAGTGGTCTAAAGACTCATTTAGAGAAATTTCTTGCTAAGAAGAAATCCCAAAATTTAGATCCCAAAATTTAGTATCTAACCTGAGAGGGGACTTTTACAAACCAGAAAGGAAGCTCTTGGGAAACTAATAAGCCAGAAATGTGTTGACTGTACCCAAATGTTAGTGATACACACTACACAGAGACCTCAGCAGCATGATAAAATAAAAAAAAAAAAAAAACCAAGGAGTTCTAGTTAGGTATTCTGACTAGAAAAGTAGACATTTCTTTCTCTCTCTCTCTGGTCTTTTTGAGGCAGGGTCTCCCTATAGCCCAGCTGGCCTAGAACTCACTATGTAGACCAGGCTGGCCTCTATCTCACAGAGATCCAACCTGCTTGAATTAAAGGTGTGTACTACCATATCCAGCTCTACGTTTTTTTTTTTTTTTGAAACAGGGTCTCCCTGTAGCCCCAGCTGTCCTGGAACTCACTATGTAGACCAGGCTGGCCTTGAACTCACAGAGATCTGCCTGCCTCTGCCTCCCAAATGCTGGGATTAAAGGCGTGTGCCACCATGCCTGGCTATTTTTATTTTATTTTATTTTTTTTGAGGCAGGGTCTATGATTAGACTGAAGCTGCTATACAGAACAGGCTGGCCTCAACCTTAGAGATCTGCCTGCCTCTGCCTCCACAGTGCTGGATTAAAGGTGCACACCACCATACCTGGTAATTTCTATTTTAGAAAAGCTTTCTGTTCTCAGGCTGGAGAAATGGCTCAGAAGTTAAGAGCACTGGCTGCTCTTGCAAAGGACCCATGTTTGATTCCTAGCACCTACATGATGGCCCACAACCATTTGTAAATACATTTCCAGGTGATCCAATGCCCTCTTTTGACCTCTTTGGGGGCATTACATGCATAGCTGCACTTACATGTAGGCAAAACACTCATGCAGATAAAATTAAAAAGTTAAAAAAATAGGAAGTCAGGCACCTTTAATCCCAACACTCAAGAGGCAGAGGCAGGTGGATTTCTATGAGTTCAAGGACAGCCTGGTCTACATAGTGAGTTCCAGACCAGCTGGGGTTACAGAGAGACCCTGTCTCAAATAGACCAAAAAAAAATGGTTTAAAAATATAGGGGCTGAAGAGATGGCTCAGTGGTTGGGTGCAGTGACTGCTTTTGCAGAGGACCTAGGTTCAATTCCCAGCACCCACATGGCGGCTGTCTGTGACTCCAGTTCCAGGTGATCTGATACCCTTTTCTGACCTCTGCAATGCATGACACAGGTGTACTTACACATACGCATGCAATATACTCATACACATAAAATAAAAATATTTTTAAAAGTTTAAAAATAAAGCTGTTTTTCCTTTTTAAAAATTATTCATGTATGCATGCATGTGGGCTCAAGCATGGGTCAAAGGACAATTTGCTGGATTTGGCTTTCTTCTTTCACCATGTGGGTCTGAGGATTGAACTCAGGCTGTCAAGCTTGACAGTAAGAGCTTTTATTGCTGGGCTATCTCAATAGCCCTGAAAAAATTACATTTCTAAAATACTAGTACCCTCCTCACTTGAGTGGATCACATAGGACCAGTCCATCTGGGGTCCAACAGGACCTACAGGGAACAGTGCATCTCAGGTGGTAGGAACAGGCAGAGTTTGAAGCAAGGGACCCTCTTTATTTACAGGGGGAGTTAAAACATTTCTTAAACATTTATGTATTTAGGATGTGTGTATGCACATGCATGTGTACACACATTCCATGTGCAAAAGACAAAAGACAACCTGAGGAAGGTCAGTTCTCTCTTTCCACCATGTGGGTCCCAGGGATCAGAACTCAGGTTGTCAGGCTTGGTGGCAAGCTCCTTTACCCTCTGAGCCATCTTGCCAGCCTTATATTTGGGGTTTAAAAATATTTTACTTATTATTTTTATTTTATGTGTATGAATGTGTTGCTTTCATGTACAAAGGTGCACCCATGTCATGCAATGCCCACAGAGGTCAGAAGAGGGCATTAGATTCCTTGGGACTGGAACAGATGGTTGTTAGCTGCCATGTGGTGCTAGAAATCAAACCCAGGTCCTCTGCAAAGGCAGCCAGTGTTCATAACCACTGAGCCATCTCTCCAGTCCCTTTGTTTTTTGAGAAACAGCGTTACTCTATACCCAGAACTTGTGATCTTCTTGCCTCTATATCCCAAGGTCTGGGACTACTGAAGTGGATGACCATGCCTCGTTTGCACAAGGCTCTTTTTAAGGATAGCTCATGTGGAAAAGCATGAAGACCTGAGTTTGGATCCCCTGCATCCATGTAAAAAGAAGGGCACAATGGGTGGTATGTGTCTGTAATCCAAGCACTGGAGAGGCAGAGACAGGAGGATCCTTGGGGCTCACTGGCTAGCCAGCCTAGACTAACTGGTAAGCTCCAGGCCAGTGAGAGACCCTGTCATGAAAAAAATGGTATATGGATCGGTGTAGTGGCAGAATGCCTGAGAGTGCTGGGCTCTGGCCTCCCTCTGGCATAGGGGCTGAGAACACAGGGGACTGCCTGAGAGTGCCTGGATCCTACCTCCACGTGGTGAAGCCTTTGAGAGGGAAGTGACACTGATTCTAACCACTCCAACAGTTATCAAAATACCTGAAAGCAGCCAGGTGTGGTGGTGCATGTCTTTAATCCCAGCACTTGGGAGGGAGAGGCAGGCGGATCTCTGTGAGTTCAAGGCCAGCCTGGTCTACACAGTGAGTTCCAGGACAGCTGGGGCTACAGGGAGACCCTGTCTCAAAAAGACCAAAACAAACAAACAAAAAAACCTGAAAGCAAATTCTGAATCCATCACTCTTGAGTCCAGGCTTGGAAGACAAAAGAAAAATGAGGAGGAACCCAATAATGGGATGCTTCTGGACGCCCCTGTCAAGAAATTCCAATGGACTCTTACATGAACATTTGAAAATTCCCATTCTGACTTTTTTCTAGTTCCCTGTCTAGAACTTGTAATGCTAATTACTCTTGCCTTTACTTCTCCTTCACACACACACAAAAAAAATTCCCTATCTGCAAGGTGGGTAACCTATTCAGAGGATGGTGTGATAAGAATAGGAGGTAGGAACTGGCTAGGCAGTTAGGGTAAAAAGACCCCAAAGTAAAGTAGCCAGTTTCTTGGCTAAAAGTCACAGTGTCCTTGGGCCTCTTAGCAACATACTCCATTCCAAAGGCCAAAAATATTGAAAGTATTTGGGAGCTTGTATCTAATTCTTAAAAGATTTTAGGGTTACCTCTTCAGAGGGGGGAATGTTAGAGTAGCAAAAAAGCCCTATAAAAAAAGAAAAGAAAGAGAACATGAAGTTATCAGAAAAAAGTGATGGGGAGATATGGAAGGAGTTGGAGGGGAGGGAGTGGGCATGGATTTGATCAAAACAGCTTATATGCATGTAGGAAATTCTCAATTATTTTTTTTAAGAAAAGAAAAAAATGGTGGATGGTACCTGAGGAAAGGCACCCAAGGCTATCATCCAAACTATATGGCCACACAGGTTCACACAAAGGAGTCATGTGGGTTCACCTTTCTAGGGGGTGCTGATATGCAGAGTCACACAACAGGAAGGGGTGTGGCACTTAGAAATGAAGCTTCACAGCCTGTCTCTTGCCCTATCAGTAACTGCCATTTTAGGGTAATGAGCATGGGGGTGTGGGTGGCTGCCAGAGGCAGCTCAGGGAAGCACTGCCAGCCTGCCCTCCACGCAGGTGCCTCTGGCCACACTTGTGGACTGGCTCTCACCTGGACAGCTTCTTCAGCTCCTTATTGATGTCCTGGTTGCAGGGCTGCTCCTTCTGTGCTCTCACTAGGAAATCACGGGCCTGCTCATACTCGGTTAGGAGGAGGCAAGCCTGTGGAGAAGGACAAGCCTTAGAAGACTTGGTAGTGCCTGTGAGCCCTACAGTTTTCATTCTGTGTATCTGTGTGCACACATGTGTAAATGTGTGGAAGCCAGAGGTCAACCTCTGGTATTCTCAGAAGTTATCCACACTTTTTTGTCTTTTTGAAGCAGGGTCTCCCTGTAGCCCCAGCTGTCCTGGAACTATGTAGACCAGGCTGGACTTGAACTCACAGAGATCCGCCTGCCTCTGCCTCCCAAGTGCTGGGACTATAGGCATGTGCCACCACACCCAGCTTATCCACACTTTCTTTAAGATTTATTTTTTCATTCTTATTTATGTGACTGTGTCTGTGTGAATGTATGTCATGTGAGTACAGTACCCAGGGAGACCAGAAAAGGGCATCAGATCAATCTGATGGAGTTACAGGTGGTTGTGAGCTGCCTGACACGGGTGTTAGGCACTGAATTCAGGTCCTCTGGAAGAGAACCAAGTGCTCTTAACTGCTGAGCCATCTCTGTAGCCCCCATCTACCTTTTAAAGTTAGGGTCTCTCACTGTGATCTGGGGCTCCCTAATTAGACCAGGTTGGCTGCCCAATGAACTCCAAGGATCCATCTGTCTCTGCTTCCACAGTGCTGGGATTTATAAATGCACCCTGGGTCCTGGGGAGTGAACTCAGGTCCTCTTGTGTGGGGCAAGCACATTCTATCTTCCCAGCCTCTGCTGCTGCTTCTCTTGGGTGCCTACCCTCCAACTCACCTGTCCACACCTGAAGAGGGCCTTGGCATTTCTCTGGTCAATGAGCAGAGCCTGCTCGCCATAGCGCAGGGCCATGGCAGGTCGGTCTAGTTTCAGGTACACAAAGGACAGGTTAAGGAGGACTAGAAGTTTGGCGGCCTCCACCAGGTGTTGTTCCTCAGAAAGCACCAAGCGCCGCCGGTGGAGCAGCTTTAAGGCCTGAGGAGAGGAGGGAAGGTGGAGGGTCAGGACTTAACAGTCCTACATATGAAAAACTCTAAAGAAACCACACAAAACTATCAAATCTAAGAAAGGCATTCAGCAAGGACACAAGACTGATATATAAAAAAACAGTTTTCTAAACAGGAGGCATGCAGAACTTCTGGCTGAGTGAGGGAGACAATGTGTATCCTCTACCCTCTTTTGACTGGCCAGGAAAAAAGGAAGTATTTTCCCACAAGGTCTAAGCAAAGGAGCAAACTAATAAAGCAGCACACAAAGAATAGCAGCGGCAAAGATGGGGCTGGTTCACAGCTCAGAGTGGCCTGGGAGCTGACAGACTAGAGGGAACAGGCTGGACTGAACCAAGGGAACCAGCCCCAGTGTTCCTTTCTTTGACCTATGTCCAGAGGACTATCACCTCAGGAACAAGGAGAGCTATTTTCTTTTTGAGACAGGGTCACATTTAGTCCAAGCTGGACTCAAACTCACTACACAGCTGAGGATGATCTTCAACTTCTGGTCCTCCTGCCTCCAAGTACAGGGATTACAGGTGTGCTCCACTACACCTGGTTTATGTGGGGCTAGGGATGAAACTCAGGGCTTCCTGCATGCCAGGCAAACACTCTACCAACTGAGCAGTATCCCCAGTCCAGGAGGCCTATTTTCTGGAAAAATGTATCCAAAGAGGCTCCTGACAGGACTGGGAGGGTGGAATGTTGTTAATGGGCATACAGAAATGTCTGCATGCTGAACCAGGACTCTGTCCATCTCCTGCTTGTCCTACAGGCCTGTGGTCAGGCATCAACACAAGCAAAATACATGGGGCCAGCAGCAAACTCCCAAGCCTGCTGAGACTAACTGCCCCACAGAGTAACACTAGTCCCCACTGTCAGAGGGACAGGAAATCCCACAGATGGCAAATGGGCTGGAAAAATCAGTTGGTGGGGGACCTAATGCTGAGATTTTTTTTAAATTAATAAACTTTATTTTTAAAAATATTTTTATTTTATGTGTATGAGTGTATTGCCTGCATGTGTGTAAGTGCACCCATGTCGTGTAATGCCTGCGGAGGTCAGAAGGCATTAGATTTCCCTGAAACTGGAGTTACAGATGGCTGTTAGCTGCCATTTGGGTGCTGGGAATCAAACCCGGGTCCTCTGTAAGAGCAATTAGTACTCTTAACCACCGAGCCATCTCTCCAGCCCCTAATAAACTTTTTTTGTGGTTATGTGTGTGCTTGTGTAGGTACATGTATGAGGATGTGTATATACAAGTGGGTATGGATGCCAGACCATGTCAGGTGTTATTCCTCAGGCACTGTTCACCTTGTTTTTTGAGACAGGGTCTCTCACTGGACTGAAGTTCACATAGGCTAGGCTACCTGGTTAGCGAGCCCCAGGTATCTTCCTCTCCCTACCTTTTGCATTGCCACACCTGGCAGTTTCTATTTTATGTGGACAATATCAGGTGTGCCCTGTTCTATCATTCTCCACCCTATTCCCTGAACCTGGAGCTAGGCTGCAAGGCCCAGTGATCCTCTTGTCTCTGCTCCCCACAGTGCTGTGCTACAGGCACACACAACCTTATCTAGTTTAATATTTTTTTGGGGGGGGGTTGTCAATCCCAGCACTCAGGAGGCAGAGTTCAAGGCCAGCTTGGTCTACATAGCAAGTTCTAGGCCAGCTAGAGCTACAAAGTAAGGGAGTAAGGGAAGCTTCTGGAGCTACACTTACATACGCAGTGTTCTTACCCGCTTGTATCTCACTTTGGCATCACAGAAGCGATTCTGGTGGAAAAGATAGTTGCCAAACTCCCTTTCTGTCGTAGCCACCTTGAGGATCTTCTGAAGAGGGAACTGTTCTTGCTGCTCCTGAAGACCAAAGTCAAGAGCAGGGAGGCATAATGAAAGCCCTGTTATAGTTGTCAATACTGCCCTCTCCCACCATCAACTTCTGTTCAGGGTCTGTGTGGGTAAAGCCCATCTGAGTCCCAACAGGGGACACACAGGTAGAAATTATGAATGGTCCCTTCTACAGAGTACAGCAGTAATCAGAGGCTGAGAAGCAGCCTGAAGCAGCAGTGTTCAGAGTAACACATGGAGGGAACCTGCCCAGCCCATGATCAATGACTTAACATTTGGCAGGGCCTAGTTTGCTCAGGTCTCATGCTGCTACACTGGCTTCATATCAGAATCTCGGAAAGAACCCCATCAAGAGCCCCTAAATCAGAACCCCAGGCAAGCGCAAGAGCCTCTGCTCAATAGAAGGATGTGGGAAAGGTGAGACCCTCACTTGGGATGCTGACAGCTTAGTGTAGAGGGTACTGAATCATATGGAGAAGCAGACTCTGGAATGGATGGGTATCTGTAGCCACATGTGCAACCAGTAGGTGAGGATGTGATCAGCACTGTGAGTGCCTGCTGACAGGATCACTAGCTCTGCTTCGATGGGATGGGGGAAGTAAAAGGCTGCATAAAAGACTTAACTTCTGTATCTCAGTTTTCCTGAGTGCCCCACTTTATACCTGATGTCCTGGATACCCTCTCCTGTTAAAAACCTCTTTCAATTCTCAAAGGGTCTAAGAGGGACCACAATTTATACAATCACCCTAGTTTGTTTCTACAGGGCTGGGGATGGAACCTAGGGCTTTTAATGCTAAGTCTCTACTGCTGACCCACACCTCTAGTCCCTCACTGGGGATTCTAGGCAGGTGCTCTACTACTGAGTCATGTCCCCAGTTCCTCACTAGGGGACTCTAGGCAGGTGGTCTACCACTGGGCCATGCCCTCAGTCCCTCACTAGGGATTCTAGGGAGGCTTTCTATCACTGATACACATCTCCAGCCCCCAGTCACCTTCATTAAGAGTTATCAATATCTAATTTGCTGAAAAGCAGTCACTGTCTTGTACAGAGAACTAGGCAAAGGGTGAATGAATAGTTAGCTCAAACAGCTAATGCACAATCAATCCATACCTCATCCTACTCAGCATGTTTTTACCTCAGATAGGCAAGGGTAGCTAGTGGGGCACAATCTTCCACCACATCTCACAGGAGACTTGGGCAGAACCCAGGGGAGGCTATCTAAGACACCACCCCAAACAGAAATCCATCCCTCCCTGTGCAAAGTTCTGGCAATTCTAGGTTCTTGGACTCACAGCTGAGAGTGCACAAAATTTGTCTGACTCAGCAGAGTCGAGGAAGTCAAGCAGTTCGATTTCAAACAAGACAGTGGCATTTGGGGGGATAAGAGGAGGACAGCCCAGGGTGCCATAAGCATAGGTTGGTCTGAACAGAAATCTGGCCAGCTCCCCTTTGCGCATGCTCAGAAGGCCCAGCTCCATGCCGCAGAGTGTAATATCTGGAAGAAAGCACAGAGACTTTGATCAAAGTTCATCCAGCATCCTAGGCAAAGCCGCAAGTTTCTCCCAACTCCAAGCTCAAGCACTTCCACACGCTAACCCAAGCCTTCTACAAAGTTCTCTTGCCTCTGCTCTGGCTTGCTTCCATTGCCTTGCTAGCCCCAGGCTTTCCCAAGCTCCATAGGTCCCTTCTTTCTTCAAGGCTCCCCAGTGCCTGAGCTCTACCCTAACTGAAATCTTTAAAAAATAATTTAAGATTAACTTTTATGGGATGGAGAGATGGTTCAGAGCACTGACTGCTCTTGCAGAGGACCCGGATTTGATTCCCAACATCCACATGGTGGCTAACAACCTTAACTCCAACCTTCCTAATTTCCTCTTCTGACCTCTGTGGGCATGCACTTACATACATTCAGGAAATACACTTGTACACATAAAAACCAAATAAAAAAATCATAAAAAGATTTTTAGAAAGATTTTTATGTACATGAGTGTTTTGCCTGCATGTACGTAATACAACACATGTGGGCAGTGCTCTTGGAGGTCAGAAGATGGTTGTTAGCTGCCACATAGGTGCTGGAAACCAAATCTGGAACCTATGGAAGAGCAGCAAGTAAGTATTCTTAACTGTGGAGCCATCTCTCTAGACCACCCACTTTAAAAATTTTTGGGTGTGCACCTGTGGGAGTTTATATTCACCATATGTGTGTAGGTATCCATGGAGACTAGAGGAAGACATTGTATCCTCTGGACTGTAGTTAGTTATAAGTGGCTGGGAATCACCATAGGAGTTCTGGAAATCAAACCTGGATCCTCTACAATAGTAGCAAGTGCTCCTAACCACTGGGCCATCTCTCCAGTCCTCTCTAGCCTCTCTTATTTCAAAAAATTTAGTTCAGGGCTGGAGAGATGGCTCAGCAGTTAAGAACACTGGTTGTTCTTGCAGAAGACCTGGGTTCGAATCCCAGCACGCACATGGTGGCTAACAACTGTCCGTAACTCCAGTCCCAGGGGATCCGACAGCCTCTTCTGACTTCTGTGGGCACTGCATGACACGGGTGCACTGACCTACATGCAGGCAACACATGCATACACATAAAATGAAAAAAATTTTAATTAAAAAAAATTTATTTGTGAGTACTCACAAGTATGTATGTGCACCACATGCCTACAGTGGCCCTGGAGGCCAGAAGAGGGCATCAGATCTCCTCTAACTAGAGGTACAGGTGATTGTGAATCATTGTGTGGATGCTGGAAGCCAAACCCAGGTCCTTTACAAGAGCAGCAAATGCTCTTCAGGACTGAGCCATCTTTCCAGTCCTATTTTTTATTTTTATTTTCTTGAGACAGGGTCTCACTGTATAGCCCTGGGTGGCCTGGAACTTGCTACTTAGACCAGGCTGATCTTGAACACCCAGAGATCTACCTACCTCTGCCTCCTGAGTGCTGAGATTAAAGGCATGTGCCACTACACCTGGCCTACTTTTCACAATTTTTGTGTGTCTGCAGGAGGCCCATGGAAGCCAGAAAAAGTACCAGATCAGGTGGTTGTGAGCTGTCTGATATGGGTAGAATCTGAAATGCAGTCTTCTGGAAAAGCAGCAAGCACTCAACTGCTGACCCATCTTTCAACCCCTACAGTGCCTTATTTCACCGTGCATGCTAGTGAAATACATTCAACCAAGCATTCAATACATGTTTATCTCACAAATGCACAAAGAAGTGCCCAGTGCATGACTCATGCTCGTCATCTTAGACTTGAGAGGCTGAGGCGGGAGGCTCTTGAAGTCAGGACAGTGTGGGCTGCACAGTAGATTAAGAAAAAAGATGCCCTGGGGCTCGAGTGCTTACTGCTCTTTAAGAAGACCCAAGCTCAGTTTCCAGCATTCAGGTTAGGTGACTTACAGGCCCAGCACCAGAGGATCCAACACCATCTTCTGGCCTCCTCAGGCACCTGCCCTCACATGCATGTATACATATGTATATGTATACACAAATAGAACATCTTTTTAAAAACTATTTTATTTATTATTTTTATTTTATGTGTATGAGTGTATTGCCTGCATGTATGTGAGTGCATCCGTCGTGCAATGCCACGGCAGTCAGAAGAGGACTTCGGATTCCCCGGGAACTGGAGTTAAGGATGGTTTGTAGCTGCCATGTGGCTGCTGGGAATCGAACCCAGGTCCTCTGCAAGAGCAGTCAGTGCTCTTAACCACTGAGCCATCTCTCCAGCCCTACAAATAGAACATCTTTAAAAAAAAAGGGCAAGGCATGGTTGTGCTTGCCTGTAATCCCAGCACTTGGGAGGCAGAGGTACGAGGATCTCCATGAGTTTTGAGGCCAGTTTGGTCTACACAGCGAGTTCCAGTCCAACCAGGGCTACATTGTGAAACCCTGTCTCAAAAAAGAAAAAAACAGACAGGAAAAAAAAGAAGGGGCTGGAGAAATGGGTCAGTGGTTAAGAGTACTGGCTGGGTTTGGTTCTCAGCACCCACATAGAGGCTAACAATCAGTCATAACTCCAGTTCCAGGGTATCTGATACCTTCTTCTGGCCTCCTTGGGCACTGCACACAGCTATGTAGGCAAAACACTCATACACACAGAATAAAAATAAATTTATAAAAAAAGAGGCCCTTGGGTAACGATATTCATCTGATAAAGGCACTTACTGCCAAGCTTGGCAATCTGAGTTTGATCCCTGGGACCCACACAGTAGAAGGAGAGAACTGAGTTGTGGGAGTTTTCTTCTGATCACACACATTTCATGGCATGCCACCCCCATAAAATTGTAATAAAAAAAACCCAAAGTGCCAAGCTGGTGGTGCACCCTTTAGTCCCAGTACAGGGGAGGCAGAGGCAGGCAGATCTCTATGAGATCAAGGCCAGTCTGATCTACATAGCAAGTTACAGGGATACCTTGTCTCAAAACCAATAAATGAATAAATAAATAAAATCATAGAAAAAAGATGCTCAGTAGGCATGTCAGACTGCAAGGCTACCATTGCTGGGTAGGCTATCTCGCAAATATATCTAAGTCTCAAGGAGAAAAGTGACAACCAGGTGCTTACATAAACTCAGCATCAGATATTCAACTCTAAGAACCTATACATTGGACACTTTCACCGTCCTAATGGGTCCCCTGTGCAGCCCAGACCACCCCTTCTTTTCCTTATGTGACTTTACCTTCTCCAAGTTTCATCAGCCTAGGCGTTTTCCTAAAGCAATTAGAGTCGAAGGGCTTGTCCATGTGCTCCAAGTATCCAGAATATTTCACTAGGGCAGAGAATAGGCATGAGAGCGTGAGAAAAAAAGTGCAGGCAGCCCGGGAGACACTGGACCAGTATCACTAGGGAAACATGCTATTAGCTGGGTGTGGTGGGGCAGGCCTACAATCTCAGCACTTGGGAGGAGGAGGCAGAAAGGCCAGAAGGTCAAGATCAGTTTCAGCTATATAGTGACTTCTAGGCCAGTCTGGAATATGAGACCCTGTCTAGAGGGACAAGAAAAGAAAGAAGAGAGAAGAAAGAGGAGAGAGCAAGAGAGAGCAAGAGACAGAGAGAGAGAGAGAGACAGAGAAACTTTAAGCTGCCTTGCTCTCTGCCCATGGAAAAGACTCTTCCAGTGTTTTTGAGTGCCTTCTCTGGAGCCCAGAGGTTCAGGAGCTCTGCTAATGTGCTTTAGTTCACTGTTCATAGTAACATCAGGTAATGGGGAGTAGGGAGCCCGTTTTTCTCTTTAAAGCCTTCAGGCTGGCATGGTGGTACCCATTTGTTATCCCAACTCTCAGCATGCTGAGGTGAGAGGACTGTCAGCCTCTGGCTGGCCTGGGATACATAAGGAGGCTCTCTCAAAAAACCAAACAAGGCTCTGTAGAGGTGGCTCAGCAGTTAAGAGCACTAGCTACTGTTGCAGAGGACCCAGGTTTAGTACCCGGCATCCACATGCTGGCTGAGGACCATAAATGCAGTTCTCAGAGATTCTGTCTCCTCTTCTGGCCTCTGCTGGCACTGTACACACATGGTGCACTTATATCCATGCAAGCGAAGTACTCACAGAGATGAAATAGAAATAAATCTTTAAAATCCTCAGGCTTTCATGAGCAACCCATCTGTCACCCCTCTCAGGAGGTTGTGGTAGGATAACTGCCAGTTTGAGGCTGGGCTGGGATACCTCGGGGAAACCTTGTCAAAAAGTCCGGGCTGGCAGAGCATGCCTTTAATCCCAGCACTTGGGAAACAGAGACAAGTGGATCACTCTGAGAGGGAGGCCAGCCTGGGCTACATAGAGTTACAGGTCAGCCAGGGCTACACAGTGAAGACTGTCTCAAAAAACAAACCCAGACTGGAGAGATGGCTCAGAGGTTAACAGCACTGTCTGCTATTGCAGAGGACTGGGGTTCAATTCCCAGCACTCACATGGCACCTAACAACCCTCCACAACTCCAGTTCTTGGGAATCCAAAGCCCTCTTCTGACCTTCGTGGGTACTGCACAAGGGTGCACTTAACACACATGCAGGCAGTACACTGAATACACATAAAATATATTTAAAAACAAACCCAAAACCTACCGACAAACAGCAACAACAAAAAAGTCCCAAAACCCATGGTTTACTCTCAGGTCTGGAGAGGCAGAGGCAGCCTGAGAGGTCAGTCTGGTCTACATACCAAGTTCCAGGCCAGCTGGGTTAAACAGTGGGCTCCTGTCTCAAAACAAACACCCCAGGCTGAGAATGCAGCTCAGGCAGTGCCAGTGCTTGCCTAGCACATCTGAGGCCCTAGGCTCCATCCCCAGCACCACATAGTTCACACATGCTAGCTACACACGTGTCATCCTAACACTCAGAACAGGAGACTCACAAGGTCATCCTCAGGTTCCTAATAAGTTAGAGGCCAGCCTGGACTACATGAGCCCGTTTCAAACACCAAACGTCGCCCCTCGTTTTCTGAGGACTACGACGGCCCCCATACCCAGCACCGAGGCGTCGGGGGTCACGGGATCTCCGGCTCCCTCTCGGATGACATTCTTCAGCACGCCACGGTCCCCAGAAATGTCCAGCATCCTCTGACTCAGACGCTCGTAGGGAGACTGAGGAAGAGAAACCACAGGCCTCAGCGACTGGCTCCGCCATGCTGGGCCTCCCTGGGGTCGTCCCGCCCTCACCTGGCTCGGGATGTCGTCCGAGTCCAGGGCTCTCTGTCCACGCGCGCTGCCGCCCATGGCTGTGCCCCACCCTCTCCATACTCCCCACTTCCTACCTGGCAGTCGTCTCGCGACGGTGGGATTCCGTTCCTGAGGCGCGAAAAGACGCTCATGGCGTCTTAAAACGACAACCGCCTTCCACAAACAACCTCAGACACCGGGCGCACGCACGTGCTGCGCAGGCGCAGGCGCAATGCACGTGCCTGGGAGCATGTTCGCACACTACAGGGATTTGCTGGAGGGTGCACGTGACAGGACGTGCAAAGCATGATGGGGCACGTGACGGGGGTGTTGCTGCACACAAAGCATGATGGGGCCGAGGCAGGTCGAGAGCTCTTTCTCTTGGTTTCTGCGTTGTTGTCGGGACGGCATCAGGGGCAGAAGTCCTTACCCCAGAGTTAGCGGCTTACGGCAACACCTGCTTCTAACCTCAGGGTTCAATAACACGGTTGGAAGTTCAATAACTTGGGCCTGGAGCGATGGCTCAGGGGTCAGGACCCAGATTCCCAGCCCCCATATGGTGGCTTACAACCGTCTGCAACTCAGTTCCAGAGGCTCTGGACCCTCCTTTAGCCTCCCAGGGCATTGCACACACGATATACATACATAGTGTGCACACATGGTACACTCACATATAGGCCAAACACTTAAATGCACAAAATACAAGTAAGAAAACAAAGGTTTTAAAGAGTTCAACATTTTTGTGTACTTGGAATTGAATTTAGGCAATATGAGGTAATCACTGAGTCATCCTGCTCCTCGCTGGAGGATTCTAGGTAGGTGCTCTACCACTGAGCCCCGCTCCTAGCCCCTCTCTTAGGGGATTTTAGACAGGTGTTCTGCTGAGCCATGTCCCCTACCCAATTTTTTTTTTTTTGTCTTTTTGAGACAAGGTCTCCCTGTGGCCCCAGCTGTCCTGGAACTCACTATGTAGACCAGGCTGGCCTTGAACTCACAGAGATTCGCCTACCTCTGCCTCCCGAGTGCTGGGATTAAAGGCGTAGGCCACCACACCTGGCTTCCAACCCAGTGTTTTTAAGGTTCATAATTTAGTAATATTGAGTGAAAAGAGTCTGATGTCAGTAGAGTGCTTTCCTGGCATGCATATGGCCCTGGTTCTATCCTTAGCAAGGCAAAGAAAACAAAAACCTAAAGAAACAAAAACAGCCCTCATGGATATGAACCAGGACAATGACTTGATGTTTTGTTTTTGAGACAGGGTCTTAGGCAGCCCTGGCTGGCTTCAAATTTGCTATCCTGTATTGCATGATCTTGGGGCTGGAGCTATGTATGACTCTGCAGTTAAGAGCACTTACTGCTCTGGACCCAGGTTCCAGGATATCTGACGCCCTCTTGTCTCTACAGACACTGTACAACACGGATGCATTTATATACAGGCAGTCAAAACATTCATACAAATAAAATAAAAAAATATATAAATTTAAAAGAGATTTGTTCCCTTCCTTAAGTTATACCTCAATTGACAAACATAAATAAGCAGTGTTTTTTTTTTTGTTTTTTTTTTTTTGAGACAGGGTCTCCGTGTAGCCCCAGCTGTCCTGGAGTGCGCCACCACACCCAGCCTAGCAGTGTTTTTACGGTTGCTCCCCTCAAACAAAAACTTGCAAGAAAAAAGGAAAAAAATCTAAATAAATAATGTCTTTAAAATTCTCTGGGGGGGTTGTTCAGAAAGCAGCATATCTTAGCATAGTCTGTTTCCGTTTGGGTCTGGTTGCTAAGGATGGAGTTTGTCCTGCCTCTCCCATTCTGGGCAAGCCCATAATCTGAATAGGTTATCAGAAGGGACCAGCAGAGGCTTGCCGCCTCAGTCCCGTGATGTGACCCACTTTCCACCTGATTCTGGGTGACCTTGAGGACACAGGTGTTGCTGGGAAAGGGGAGGAGAGAAGGGGCGGAGACTGGGCAGTGGAATGGGGGTCTACCTGGGTGCCCCAGGTCTGTGTGTCTGCTGGCTCTTTCTGTGAGGAAGGAAAGGCTGTGTGACCAGAGATGCTGGCTTGAGGCCCTCCTGGGAGGCCCAGTGGATCACAAGAGATCAGGTAAATACAATCTTCTCTGGATCTGCTAGGACTTCAGTCTGGGGTTCCTCCTCTTTCTGTTCCTGTTTTCATAAAGGAGTAGGCAAGAGGTGAGGACAGATCTTTTCCCCATCCCAGACTTTTGGGCCAGGGGTTGCGGGGGTCAGGGGGTGGGGGATAGCACTTTACTGTTCTGGGACAAAGCACTTTACTCTTAAAGCTGTGCAGCTCAGTGGGTAGAATGTTTGCTAAGCTCGCTTAAGGCCCTGGGTTCCACCCCCAGCACTGTATAAAGTGAGTGTGGTACTGCACACCCGTAATTCCCGGCATCCCCAGCTTTATAATCTCAAGTAGAGGCAGGAACATCAGTTCAAGGGCATTCTTGGTTATGTAGAAAGTTCAAGGGCTACTGAGACCCTGTCTCAAAAAAAATAGTGAGATGGCTCAGTGGTTAAGAGCACTGGCTGTTCTTGCAGAGAAGCCAGGTTCAGTTCCCAGCACCCACATGGCAGCAAACAACCACCTGTAACTCCAATTCCATGGGATCTGACACCCTTTTCTGGCCTCTCTGGGCCCTGCACACACATAGTGCACTTACATACAGGCATAGTACACACAAAATACAATAAATAATTAAAAATTAAATTTGAAAAAGATTGTCTGGTAGACGGTGTGTATTTCTGGGACTCAGGGAGCCTCCCCCTTGAAACACAATCCCTGAAGTTGGGGCTCTGCTGAACCTCTAGGCTGCCTAAGCTATCAACTGTTACTCAGGACAATTTAGTGAGACCCTGTCTCAAAATAAAATTGAAAAGAAGACAGGATGCACCTCAGTGGTAGAATACTTGCCTTACTCCAGGGCTCTGGGTTTAATCTCTAATACTAAAAGAAAGCTGAAGAGATGGCTCCATGATTAAGAGAGGACCCAGGTTTGGTTCCCAGCACCCACATGGTGACTCACAGGTGTCTGTAACTCCAGTTCCAGGGGCTATGACATCTTCTTCTGGCCTCTGCAGGCATTGCATGATATGAGAGCACTTAGAAACGTGCAGGCAAAACACTCACACACATAAATAATTTCTAAAAAGAAAAAAATTTAAAAAATATTTTAGTATTTTTATTTTTATGTGTATGAATGTTATGCCTGCATGTAAGTGCACCCGTGTCGTGCAATGCCCGTGGAGGACAGAAGAGGCTGTCCTGGAACTGAAGTTACGGGACAGTTGTTAGCTGCCATGTGGGTGCTGGGATTTGAACCCGGGTCTTCTGCAAGAACAGTCAGTGTTCTTAACCACTGAGCCGTCTCTCCAGCCCAAAAGAACTTTTTTTAAAGGGGAGACTATCTCCATGTGACATTTCTGGGGATTGAACCCAGGGCCTCACATATTGCTAGGCAAGCACTTGGAGCCACACCCCTCTGCATTTACCCACCCAACTTCCCTAAAGACCTTTTTCCCTCCATTCAAGTCCAGTTGGGAAAACTGAGGCTTAAGGTCACACCAGGTTGGGATGGGTATCCAGGGCTGGCATCCTTCTCCCTAAGTTCCCTGCGGTCCTTGGGTTGGGGGGCGGTGGGCAGGGGCGACAGAGTGAGGGAGTCCCCATCCTGACTTCTGTGTTGCAGCTGGTGCTGCATGCATGGCTTGGCGGGTGAGCGTGCCTGAGCTGCAGGACCAGCTGCGGTGTCCCATTTGCTTGGAGGTCTTCAGAGAGCCCCTGATGCTACAGTGCGGCCACTCCTACTGCAAGGACTGCCTGTTCTCCCTGTCCTGCCACCTGGACTCGGACCTGCGCTGCCCGGTGTGTCGCCAGGCGGTAGACGGCAGCAGCTCCCCTCCTAACGTCTCCCTGGCTCGGGTGATCGATGCCCTTCGGCTCCCGGACGACACAGAGCCCACCGTCTGCGTGCACCACCGAAACCCTCTCAGCCTTTTCTGCGAGAAAGACCAGGAGCTCATCTGCGGTCTGTGTGGCTTGCTGGGCTCCCACCAAAACCACCAAGTCACACCGGTCTCCACGGTCTACAGTCGCATGAAGGTGCAGAGGGCAGGTGGGCTACAGTGGGGAGGAGCGGAGCGAAGGGCAGCGCAGTGGCAACTCTCTTATGCACTGTTGCGCCATCACTTGGTAGAAAGACTACCGCTGCAACCAGGCTTCCATTTCTTTCCAACTCGGCCTTGGAAGCATGCATACATGTATGCATGCATTGTTTTTTACGTTTATTTGCGTATGTGTGACTGCCACGTGGAGATCAAAGGACAACTTTTGGGAACCAGTTTTCTTCTTCCATGTGGGTTTCAGGGATTGAATTTAGGTCCTCAGGCTTGGTGGCAAGCATCTTAACCAGCTGAGCCATCTCTCTGGCCCTATGCATTGGTTTTGAGCAGTGCAGTTGTTTAAACCAGGTGCTGGGAATTGTAGCCACAGGAAGGGCGGAGAGGGAGCCCTCTGATGTCATTTGTCAGACTTTTCTTTTAGTTACACCCTAGGTTTGTTTTGTTTTGTTTTGCTTATGATGTTTCAGATCGAATCCAAGGCTTAGTGGATAGCCTAAGCTAGCCCTGTACAACTGAGCCACATCAACAGCTTTCCTTTGGGTTCTGTGTGATTGTTGTTGTTGTTGTTTTGGTATTTTGGTTTTGTTTTTGTCTTGAGACAGGGTCTCACTATTTAGTTCTGGTTAGCCTGGAACTCACTATGTAGATCAGGCTGGCCTTGAACTCACAGAGATCTGCCTGCCTCTGCCTCCCAAGTGCTAGGATTATTATTTTATTTATTTTTAAGTGTATGAGTGTTTTGCTTATATGTATGTAGGTGTACCACATGTGTGCAATGTCCTCAGGGACAGGTGTTGGATCCCCTGGAACTAAAGTTATGGACAGTTGTTAGTTGCCATGTGGGTGCTGGGAACTGAACCTGGGTCCTCTGCAAGAGCAGCCAGTGCTTTTAATGACTGAGCAATCTCTCCAGTCCTTGGGATCATTTTTTGAGACAGGTAGTTAGTTCAGGCTGGCACTGAACTTGAACTATGCAGCACAGACTAACCTTGAATTCTCAATCTTCCTGCTTCAGCCTCCCCAGTGTGCTGAGATTATAGGCATTCACCACCTTGATTTCTTTCTCTTTGCATTTTTATTCATTTATTTATTTAGGGGAGGGCACATGTGTGGAGGTCAGAGGACAACTTTCAGGAGTTGGTTCTCTCCTTCCACCATATGGGTTTTAGGACTGAACTCAGTCTTTAGGCATAGCACAAGTGCCTCTACCTGCTGAGCCATCTCACTGGCCCTGATTTGTTTCTGTTTTGGAAGCAGGGTCTCCCTGTAGCTGGCCTGGAACTCACTGTGGAGACCAGACTGGTCTCAAACTCACAGAGAGCCGCCTGCCTCTGCCTCCCGAGTGCTGGGATTAAAGGCATGCACCACCATGCCCTACTCCTGATTTATTTCTTGAGAGCTCCTAAGCTTAGGATTTCAGGAGCATGAGGGAAGAGTCTACAGCCTTAGCTGGCAGGTGGTAAATTCTCACAGTATACTTGTTGAATCAGTGAATTCCTCAGTCCATGAACTGTTATCCCAGATGAGCAGATCAACATTTTTTAAAATTTTGCCAATTACTGTACTTGTTTATTTACTTACATGTCTTATACACATATGTGTGTACGCATGCTATGGTGCATGTGGGGAGCTCCTACAATGTGGGTCCTAGGGATTCAATTCAGGTCCTTAGGCTTGGTGGCAAGCACTTTTACCCGCTGAGCTGTGTGGCCATCCCCAGATCAACATTTAAGATGAAGTGTAGTGATACCAAGCTAGGTATAGTGGCTCATACCTGTAATCCTTGCAGTTGGGTGGCTGAGGCAGAAAGATCTAGAGTGCTAGGCCAGTCTGGGATAGAGTAAGAACCTGTCCAGAAAGAGGAAGAGGAGGAAGCGGGGGGCAGGGGGAGGAAGCTATCTAAGGTTGTTACATGATCTGAGGTTTGTCAAGCAGTTTCATTAATACATTTTCATTTACTAGGTAAAACAATTCTATTGTGTTTAAAACCAAGACGCAAAGAAAAGAAGAACCTAATCCAATATCATACATATAAGGCTGGGAATATGGGTCAGTAATAGAGTCCCTGCCTAGAGTCCCCCAGTGAGGGGCTGGGAGTGTGGCTCAGTGGTAGAGCACCTGCCTAGAATCCCCCAGTGAGGGGCTGGGGTGTGGCTCAGTGATAGAGCACCTGCCTAGAATCCCTCTGTGAGGGGCTGGGAGTGTGGCTCAATGGTAGAGCACCTGCCTAGAATCCCTCTCTGAGGGGCTGGGAGTGTGGCTCAATGGTAGAGCACCTGCCTAGAGTCCCCCAGTGAGGGGCTGGGGTGTGGCTCGGTTACCACCTAGCATGTGCCAGGCCCTGGGTTTCATTCGCAGCACCAAAAAGAAAGAAAGAAAGAAAGAAAGAAAGAAAGAAAGAAAGAAAGAAAGAAAGAAA